AGTCGGCGCCCGGGCCGGACCGCGTGGCGGGGGCAGCACGCGGGGCGCGTGCAGGTGGCGCGCACCGCTGCGGGGGGCGGTGTGGCCCTGAAGGCCAGCCGGGCGGTGGGACGCCTCGTGCGTGGTTGCGGAAAGTGGGGCGTGGAGTGTGAAGTAGGGGCCGCGGTCGTGGATGGGACACGATGTCCTGCAGAGTTTAGGTGTGAATGGCTGGAGAAGCGTCTGCTTGTGTGTAGAGTTGGTGGCTGTGGGTCTGCCGGGACTGGGATTGTCAGTGAAGGTGTGGATTGTGGGTCGGTGCGGGGGGTGTGTGTGAAAACGGATGTGCAGGGTCCGGGCCGCGCGCGGCGTGGCGGTGTCAGCGCTGAGGGGCGCCGTTGGGGTCGTGCCCTCTGTGCTTAAAGTGCGCCCCGTGCTGTGTGTGGCTGGGGAAGCAGCTGCAGACGTGCCGGCTCCTACCTGGAAGGCCTGGCGCCCGTGGGCTGCCGAGTCGTTTCAGGGTGTGTGTAGCACAGTGGGCCTCAAGTGTGTGCGTGTTTCCTCCCACCGCTGAGCGCCCCTTCTTCAGTAAGGCCACCCTGCCCAGAAGAGGGGCCTCTCCTACCTTCCCCGGTCAAAAGCCCTCCTTGCCTCACTCCCAGGGCAGGGAACCAGCTTCAGGGCAGATGGGGTGTGGAGAGGTAAGCTCTGAACCAGCGTTGGGGGTTGTGGAGGGGGTGGGGGACCCTCTGTCCAAAGGCCCACAGAATCCCACCCAGAAAAGGGGAGGCTTTCTCCCATAGTAACACCTTCTCAAGCGGAAAAGTTCTTCCTAGCGCCTGACCTCTCTCTGCCCAGCTGGAGCTGCCCTTTCGTTTAGCCCTCCTGGCCCTGCACAGGACGGTGATTTGGGTTCCCCGAGCCTCTTTCCCTCTTCCCCTGCGAAAGCCGCGGCCACACCAGCCGCTGTCTCCGCAGGCCCTGCCCCAGGGTGAAGCGCTTCCGCAGCAAACTCTTCCCGTTCCTCCGGGAGTATCTCGGGGGACAGAGCCGAGCGGGAGGGGCGGGGAGGGGGCGGGAAAGAGAGCTGATTCTCAGCTGTCAGCAAAGGCAGCATTGATCTGCTGAGCGTCAGTGGAGGAGGGAAGGAGGCGGGGCTGTGGGAGGGCTGGGAGGGGCTGCAGGGACTTGGGGGTCCCCATGCTGCGATGGGCAGCCAGCCCATACCCCTACCCCACGGTGACCCTTTCGCTCTGCCTAGCTGCAGGTGCCTTCTGGGGTCTGACCTGAATCTGTCCTGCTGCTCTTGGTTCCAGGTGTGCCTAGGGCCTGAGCCTGATGCCCCTGGGCAGGTGATGCCCCATCCTCTCCTGGGAGCTGGGGAAGGTTTCTGGACCCCAGGGCCCCACTGTGGATGCAGTGCCCGGGCTGGGTTAACCCATCCTCTCCTATGAGCTGAAGCTAGCACCCCCCCAAATATGTGGCACTGCCCTCCCTGACTGTGGAACTGCCTGTCTGAGCCTCCTCAGTCAGGAGTCCTGGGGGTGGGACTAAGGTGTGGGACCTGAATGGTGCGAAGGAAAGCAGTTACAAGGGGCCTGGGATCTTTTTGAGGCTCTTCTGTGGCAGAAATGGAACTTGAATTCAGGTTGCCCTTATCAACACCCAGAATATCTGAAATTGGGTCTGTTCTGAGAAATCTGACCCTCAATATCAGCATCACCTCTGGACTCCATTCCTCTCTTCCCATTTAGAGTACTGCAAAGGTCCTTTCCCCTCCTTGTGAGGAGCCCTCACTGTACGGAAAGGGTCTCTCATCTTTCCCAACTCCAGATTACCCCTTCACAGGCAGCAACCAGAGGAAAGAGACTGGCTGCAGCTAGAGGAATGGAAGTTAGATCTCAGGAAGGACTTCTATAGGGCACAGAGGCCTGTTTCTCCTGCAGGTGTATGTGTAATGGAGGGACAAGTTCACTGTTTTTCAAAGTGGAGAGACACAGAACTCTTCCAAAAGGATGGCAGGGATGGGTGAGACGGTTCTAGGAGGCCATAGCAAAGTTGAGTCGGGGTGTGTGTGTACATGGGGGAGTAAAGGAGGCAGAGGAGAAAGTCCAGTTCAGAGAGGACAGGTGGCCACTCTGACGGTTACCCGGCGGCCTTTCTGCTCTCATCCGGATTCCCAGGACATGACTGGAAGGATGGACTTTCCCCACCACAGCCTTTAGTGACTAAGACACTTTTCTGAGCAAACAGCTGTCTCAGTCTCCCTCAATTGCCCCACCCTCCTTCCTCCCTTTCTCTCATCTGTTCCCTTGACCCCACCCTCAGCAGCTTCCTTCCCATCTCCCTCCCTGGTAAGACTGCCAAAGCTTCTCCACTCTGCCCAGACTTATTGTCCCACCTGGACAAGTACCTTCCCTGCTCTGGGCTTCAGTTTCCTCATCTGTACAAGAAGGGAGCAGAGCTCCAAGGTCTCCTGCAATTCATCACTGTCCCCATCATCCATCAATGGAGGAAGTATTGATTGAGAGGAAGGGTGGGGAGGGAGATTGCTCCCAATTGCTGAGCACCAATTGTGTGCCAGGCCTTGTCCCTTCTGGGGCAGACAGCAGACCTTCGCATGTGAGAAAGCTGAGGCTCAGAGAGGTGTGGGGACTCACTGAGGATTTACAGCCCCCCCCCCAAATAAAAAGGATACACAGCCCATTGGTGACCCCAGAACTATCTGTGACCTGTGCTGTCCCATTGGCTTGCAACTGCCTAGTCGCCCTGGGTGCTGGGATCAGTGCTTGGAAGGGAAACATACATGGCCAATCCTTGTTCTCTAGGACTCACTCCTGCCACGGATTGAAGTCTGAAAGTGGCCGGGACCTTGATCCTGGGGCCAGGTTCAAGCCTGTCATTGACTCCCATTGTGATCTCAGGTCACTCAAGGGCTCAAATTCCTTTCCTGGAATGGGAGGGGGTGATTTAAGTCAGCGATTTTCAGACTATATCAGCAATGGAATCCTTTTTACAGACAGCATTGTAAGGTAGCACCCCAGTGTGTAAAAAGCACTGGCACAGAGGTGCTCTTGTTGAATTGGGGTGAAGAGATCAGGCTTTCTCCCCCCTGTCCTCCTTCTGCTCTCTTCCTGCACCCAAGAAACCCCTGGGTTTTCTTACAGCTCTAAGTGTTGTTCAAGTTCAGATAAGGGAGAAGTCTCCACAAGCAATGGCAGAGAGAACTTTCCTGGGGACAGGAGTGGAGATGACTTGGAGAGGTACAGACAAGGACAACCAATTAATGCCTGCAGCTGCCAACCACTAGTGGGGGCTGTGCTAAATGCTAAGCCTTGTGCTGCTTTACCTGCACTGTCTATTTCATCCTCCCAATAACCTTGTGAGGTAATACTGTTCACACCCCCATTTAATAGTCAAGAAGACTGAGGCTCAGTGAAGAGACTTGCCTAGTACTCTATACTTTGTACTCCTTGTGCTGCAGTGTGAGGGGCATGGGGCAGGGGGTGGGGGGAGTGGGTTGGGGAGGATGTTATAGAGCATGGGGGAGGAAAAGCAAGCTTAGCCAGGGGCACACAGGAGGCCCTGAATGCCAGGCTGAAGGGTCCAATCTGGTCAGATTAGAAAGAGGGAGCCCAGCCAGGCCTGAGCCGGGCATGCTGCAGAGACTGAGGCTCCCTAGGAGAAAGCCCTGGAGGGATGGAGTGGGAGGCACCAGCACCCGGGGAGGTTGGCAGTGCTGGGGGCAGAAAGAGCACTGAACTATCAAGTCATGGCTGGGCTTCCAATCCTGCCTCTACCTCTGGACTAGCTGATGACCTTGGGCAAGTCACATTACCTCTTCCCCACCTTCCCTGGTTGTCAGGAGGGCTGAATACAATAATGCACGAAAAAGACACAGATCATACAGCAAGCCGCACAAACCCAAACCATTCATCTTATGGTTTTTCAGGTGCATGTTTGAGGTGGAGTGGGGAGATGCTATGAGAATCTTCTGGTCCTAGCTAGCTCTTCTCAAAATAGGAAGGAAGGTTTCCTAGGAGGGGATTGAAGTGGAGGGTGCTCATGGGATGATGGCATCACATTATTTACCTCTGGGAATACACCTCCGCTGAGAACAGGAGGAGGAGATATGAAAGAAATGTAAGGCCTTCTCCCTTTTCCCTAAGCAGCCGAGAAAGGACAGGAGATTTAGGCCACCCAGCAGATAGAGGGGTTCAGGAAGTTCCTCTTCCTGGGATCTGGGAGTGCCACTGACCTACCCCCAGCCTAGACCAAGCAGCCTGGCTAGCCAGCTCAGAGCCACGGGAAGTGGGAAGG